TTAGGAGAATTTTGGGTTGTTACCACATCAAAATCTATATCATTCTCACTTAAGGAGGTAGAAATTGTTATCTAAAGTAAGGAGCTGCCATACAAGAACCTAAAATATATTAAGGGATAGATGGCAGGTAGCAAGGAAACTGTTTTCAGAGGATGGAAAGTTAGCAATCCATGTTACGCAGTGGTGAGACATTTCATAAAACCATTACCCACAATTAACTTGGAAGAAAGGTCATGTAATGTACGTGTAGCTTACGGGGAAGACTGCAAAGCAGGATATTGTATGTTCATTGCTATTGGCTGCATTTGGCAAAATATTATTTTTTTAAGATTTTATTTATTTATTTTTAGAGAGGGAAGGGAGGGAGAAAGAGAGAAACATCAATGTGCAGTTACTGGGGACCGTGGCCTGCAACCCGGGCATGTGCCCTGACTGGGAATTGAACCTGCGATGCTTTTGTTCCCAGCCCGTGCTCAATCCACTGAGCTACACCTGCCAGGGCAGCAAAATATTAAAAAATAAATGAGGTGAAAAAGAACTGACCAATATGCAAGCAAGAATGAAGGGAATAAAGAGTCTACCAATTTGGGTACCCTGACTGGTGTGGCTCAGTTGGTTGGGCACCATCCCGCAAAGTGAAAGGTCACCAGTTTGATTCCCTGTAGGGCACATACCTGGGTTGCAGCTTTGGTTCCCAGTCAGGGCCCATAGGAGAGGCGGCCATAGATGTCTCTCTCACATCGATGTTTCTCTCCCTCTCTTTCCCACTTGCTTCCCCTCCCTCTAAAAATAAATAAACAAAATATGGTGTGGCTCAGTTGGTTGAAGCATCAGCCCGTGGGCCAAAACGTTGTGGGTTTAATTCCTGGTCAGGGCACACCCCTGGGTTGTGAGTTTGGTCCCCGGTTGGGGCACGTACAAGAGGCAATCGATTGATGTTTCTCTCTCACACCAATGTTTCTCTTCCTCTCTCTAAATAAGTAAATAAATAATAATAAAGGGTTAAAGATAAAGTTAAGACATGCTTCAAATGACAAAGGATAACCAAAACTCAGCCTGGAGGCAACACATTAATTTAAGAGAATGGCTGTTTTATTGACTTCAAAAAAACTCCAAGTGGAGTTTTGGTATAGGTCCACATCACAGGTCCAATCAACTAAGGCTGTTTGAACACAATGCTCAGGGAAAAGAGACTAAAGAAAAGTGTTTTTCCCATCAAAGCCTGATAAACACATGGAATTACTATGGGGAGGGAGGGAGAAGGGGGGAGGGACAGAATGAATAAGGGCAAGAAAAGAATTATACCAAATAAACATTATACTAGAAAGGAAGTATAGAGGTGACTATTGGCTTCTGGAGCTGATAAAAATGACTAGTTTGGGGTTTTTTCTCCTCTTGATTAAGTTTCTGAGAGAGCTACATTTCCAAAATACCTACTAGGCTGGACTACAAGAGATCATGACTGTTCACCCTGAGACCTTCAACCATCTATGGGCAAAAAAGCAGACTACGAAAGCTGCTCAGCCCCTAAGGAGGGCATATTCCCCACAACACTCATTCGAGATATGGCCAAGGAGGAGAATGGAAAAGGAAAAATGAGCCACAGAAAGAATCAGCATCAACGGAGAACAATGAACAAGGAGTTACCACCAGAGAGCAGAGTCAGGGCCTCATGGAGAAACATTCCCCATTCTCCAGGGTGGTAGAGGGTCCTCAAAATTGCTGCCCAACAGGATTTCAGAACTGCCGCAGCTGAGTGTTCACCTTTGCTGTGTGCCTCTTTCCAAATGGGAATCTTTATGGTGGTTATCCTGTCAATGGGGACCAGTAACTTGTCTTTTCAGGCACAGTCTTTAGATCAAAAGAAACCATATCTGTAGCAAATGTAGAGATTACTACACATCACAGAGATTCTGGGTTTTAAGTTGGATGTCCTGACAAGAGCTTTTGGCTTTTCTACCTTGGGGAAGGGGTGAGTGTATTTTACATGCAAACAGGAGAATAATTGGTGACAAAGAAGGCAGAAGGAAATACTGCTATTTCCAACCTTTCCGATTTCCTTCCTTCTAGGCATATGAAAGGACTAAACTTCCTTGCTGCTTTGAAGCTCTAAGTGGGGATGCAATTTGTTTAAGCAGGTAAAACTGAGTAGAAGTGGTGAGTATCACTTCCAGAAGGAAGGCTTTAAGAGGTGTTGTACAATTTGCTCCTCTTCCTTTCCCTGCTGTGGTTCCCAGCAGTGTTTGATAGTGAAACTTTGTCAACCTGTATCTTTTAGAGAGAATGGCATGCAGCAGAGACCTGATAACCCAAGATGAATATATACTATGAATGAGACACACACTCTTGTTTTAAGCCAATAAATTTTTGAGGATGTTAATGAAGCATAATCTAACCTGTCCTGACTACCACAGAAGCAAACAGGTAAACAGAGAACAGCTTGTCTTCAACTGAAAAAGAAAAGCAAATATTTATTTTTATATTAGATTTTATTATTTATTTTTAGGGAGAGCAGAATGGAGGCAGAGAGGGAGAGAAATATCAATTCATTGGGACCTGGCCCGCAACCCAGGCACAGTCCCTGACTGGAATCGAACCAGCAACCCTTCGGTTTGCAGGCCAGTACTCAATCCACTGAGCCATACCCACCAGGGCAGAAAAGCAAATATTTAAAAGAAGAAAATCTAAGCATGACAATCTTTAAAATAAATTTTCATTTCAAAATTTGTATAAGTGCTTGGAAATACAATTAATACATGTAGAGAATTAGAAAACCTTCTGTTCATTTTTTTTTTGGTTCATTTTAGACCTTAGAGTTTGCAATGAATATTTCAGGAAACTTCATAACCTTAATAGTTAAAGCTGGGCTGGAGTTGCACTCTATTGCAAAGTACACTAAAAATAGCTATGATCTCCAGTCTACAAAGAGCCAAGATGGAGTAGAATTGTTGAAAACAGATTAATTCAATGATTCCTTAAAGTGGTAACTCGGGTGCTATAAGCATTGAGATTCCCACTGAGAACAGAGACCATATCCTTTATCCATTCTCAGCCCAGAACCTAACAGTGCCTGACACATTATAGGCACATTGTAAGTATTTTTTATTAGAGATTTTATTTATTTATTTTAGAGAGAGGGAGAGAGAAAGAGAGGGAGAAAAACATCAATGTGTGGTTGCCTCTCATATGCCCCCTACTGGGGACCTGGCCCACAACCCAGGCATGTGCCCTGACTGGGAATCAAACCAGCGACCCTTTGGTTCACAGCCCATGCTCAATCCACAGAGCTACACCAGCCAGGACACACTGTAAATATTTGAAGTACTGAGTTCAGCTAAAGCCATTTGCTCACTTGAAAATCGATTCACCAAGGCCAGCTTAAAGGAGCTGGGCTGTGCTTACTCAGGGCTGAAGTGAGGGCAGTGTAGAGGCACTAGGGGAGGTGATGCTGATGTCATGGTAAAAGGCAAGCTAGGTCATTAATCCCCATATCTTTGTTCCAAAAAGAACAAATTTTTAAAATCCTAGTCTCCTCTGCTCATACTGCTCACTACTCCTCTGTCCTTGTTGACTTAGTTTCATGAAACAATAGATTATTCTTTTTTTTTGCCTACAATAGCCCATCAGGGTTCATCACATGCAAACAAGTGGTTTACTATGGTCCTTCCTCAAGAAGATATCAGATATGAAGAAATAATTATAAAACAATGTCAAGCATATAAAAAGGCCAAGCCTACACGTCTTATGAAGTAGTTGAGTATAGTAGATACCCCTGATCTAGGCAAGCAGAGTTTGAGGTTCAGGGACTTGTTGAGCCTGGGAGAAGTGTCTCGATAGTCAGTCTATCATCAGATCCATGCATACAAGTGTCAGAAGTCCAGGAAACCAAGAGTCCAAATCCAGGAGTGTCAGTAAAGGCAAGGACTGAAGGATTCAGCTGTTGAGCTGGTATTGTTTCCTTTTGTGTGTAGGCAGGCAAGACCTTTTGCAGGTTTGTGTTTGCTGCTAAGAAAAGGAAGTGGCCCGCAGACGCTGGGAGGCTCAATTACACAGGGTGGGGGCTCCTGACACACTAGGCTGGTGAGGCCATCACAGTCCTGGGCTGCTGGACCATCTGTAACATGTGTTTGGTCTGGTTCACTGATTGGCTCTATCCAAGAGAGCAAAGTGTGGTTAGCTTCCAGATCCCAGCCAGCTTGCCTACTGGGAAAACATTTTAGGCCAAACCTATGACTAGAAAGAAGAGTTTAAGGTGAAGTATTTTAAAACTGAAAATATTATTTTTCATGAATATTCTCTAAAATAAAATGATTTATATCTAATTACTCTAGGCAGCCCAACTGATACATTTTAATTACTTAAATATACATTGAAAATGCTTTTATTACAAAATATTACCACGTACACAGTAGAGAAGCTAGCGTAATTAATTCCCATATCCACCACCAATTTAAAGATTTATCATTTTACCATTTGTTTCATCTGTCCCTTTTATTATTTTCTAAGTATTTTCTAATTATTTCCTAAGTATTTTAAGGCAACTCTCAGACATCATTTCATGCTCACATACTTCAGTATATATTTTTAAAAGATCCTTACCTGAGGATATGTTTATTAACTTTTAGAGAGAGGGGGAGAGGGAAAGAAACATAATTTAAGGGAGAAACATCGATCTGTTGCCTCCCATATGCACCATGAGCGACCTAGTTATGTGCCTTGGCTGGCAATCAAACACACAGCCTTTTGATATATAGGACGATGCTCCAACCAATTGAGATGCCCAGCCAGGGCTCAGAATACATTTTTAAAGAAAGGTCATGCCTTTACATGACCACAGAACTATAATATCACCTTGGCCATTATCATTTCAGTGTACGCTTTTTGCATGAGGGCTTTCTATAGCCACTGGAGCCCCTCCTGCCTGCACACCCTCCTTCCCTGACAGGAGCAGTGCTCAACCAATACCCGATGGGAGTTGGTGGGTAAGTACTCCAGCTCCCTTGGCCTGGAAGTTGGAGATTAGCTCTGAGGTGTATTCTATAGTATTTCCCGAAGTATGTCAGTGAAATTAAGCTCCACTTGCCCACAGTGGTTAATTTGCATAAAAGTGGTGCTTTTATTGGCTTTCATTTCTTTTTTTTTTTAAAGAAAGCATCAAATTTAATTTAAATTTAAAAATATCAGAAATTGTCTGAAAAAAATCAATGGAGCAAATCAACTCCCAAAAAAGAGGGGCTGCATCTTGGTGATCACATTTGTTGGAAGGGTTAGAGAAAAATAAAAATGCCGTTTAGCTTAAGAATGTGTAGGTTATGTGCAAACCAACTCATTTTAGGAGCAGAAGAATTCTTGGTCATTTCTCAACATCAAAATTTACACAGGTTTCTCTTTTGAATATCTTCTACATTTAAAGATGCAATCATACAAAGTCTCCTAATTTCCACGTAGGATAAATTCTTTGTTTCAGCCAACTCTCAATGGAGGCGCAACCAGCACAACGCCATCTCCGTGGACAAAGAGCATCGGGATATTCCGTTTTGTTGATTTATATATCTCTTCATATGTTTCTTCATCAATTTCTATAGTAGTCGCAGTTTCTTCCACATCTCCCAATATCATATTTAAATGTTGATCATAAGCATGTAATCTACCTTGAAGTTCTCTGTCATTTCTCATTTTCACATAAATTCGCTCATCCAGGCTGAGCCTGATAAGATCCAGGGGCTCTTCTACAGTGTTGGTAGTTTGTTGCTGGTCCACATCGTCCGCCATGTTTCAAACCCGGCTTTCATTTCTTTCTCACATCACTTCCTTTTCCTCTTCCAGTGTTTCCTGGAATCCCCTCTCAAATATGCTAACTTGCATTTGAATCTTTGTCTAGGTATCTGGGAGAACCCAAAGTGAGAAACCCACCTAACAAAACTTACAGTAAGTCCTTGGTGTCATCTATTATCCAGATCTAATATTCAGATTTTCCTGACTGTATCAAAGGTATCTTTTAACAGTTGGTTTGTTGAAATCAGATTTTTAAACAAATTGCTTTTGGTTCTTTCTTAAGCCTCTTTTAATCTAGAGCACTCTTTCCTCCCTCACCTCTTTTTTCATGCCATTGACTTGATTGCAGAGACCAGATTAGTTGTCCTGTAGAATCTCCCTCATTCTGGATTTGTCTGTTGCTTCCTTGTGTTCCTTTACTTCCACTATTTCCTGTAACTGAAGTTAGCTTTACAAACTTTCAGATTCAAGTTTGGGGAGACAAGGATACTTCATAAAGCCCTGGCTGGGTAGTTGAGTTGGTTAGAGCATAGGCCTGATTTGCCAAGGTTGAGGTTTCAATCCCCAGTCAGAGCACATGCAAGAATCAACCAATGAATCCATAAGTAAGTGGAACAACAAATCAGCATTTCTCTCTCCAATTTATTTTTATAAAGAATTCTTCATAGGTAGTGTTGTCAGCTTCGTATCAATCACTTTAGGAGACACATATTGCCTGGTTTTCTTACTTTACATGATACTAGGATTGACAAGCAGGTTCAGTTTGTTAATATCAGAGTGGGTTCAACAGAAAGTTATGCTGCTAAAAACCACGTCCCATGTGTACATTACGAGACTTTTTTGTGATTTCAGAGGGCAGCTACTAAGTTCACTTTGAACATTTTGTAGGGTAAAATAATTTTAATAGACTTTAAATGTTAAAGTCTTAAGACATGAAATTTCATATCTTGGAACAGACCCCAAACTATATTTTAAGGCAAACTCTGTTCCCACTTGCAGCTTGGATCTTAATTCAATGCATTGTTAGAATGGGAACTAGACTCCCCCCACCCACCTTGAGGCCTCATAAATCCATTTATTCAACAAATGCTGAATACTGCAACGTGCCAGGCAATGAAATAAGTACTGAGGATAGAGGGGTAAGCAAATCATAGTTCTTGCCCTCGAAGAGTTTATGGTCTTGTAGGGGTCTTATTAGTGATACAACGGTAAACACATAGTAGCAGTACATGATTTAGAGGGAGTTGGTCATCAGGGAAGGCTTTTTTTTTTCAAATTTATTTTTATTGCTGACACTAGTACAAATGCCCCCATCCCCCTCACCTGCTTTTGCCCACCTCCACCCAGCCCATAACTCCTAAGGAAGACTTCCTAGAGGAAGTGATATCTAAATTGAAACCTGAAAGGTAATTTCTTAGAGAATAAGTGCCAGGAAAAAACAAAGCTTTCCTTTTTTTGAAATTATATGTTTCTTCTTAAAGACAATATTAATCACATAATTAACTCTATTTTGCTTTGGACCCTTATAATTTCAATTTTGCAACTTACCTCTAATTATGCAGGACCTGATAGTTTCCATATCTTCATTCTAAATTTCTTCCTGATCCTGATATTTTTAATCTTTTTCTTTAAACAAAAGATTGTATCTATTCACTTTTAGAGAGAGGGGAAAAGGGATGGAGAAAGAGGAAGAGAAACATTGATGTAAGAGAAAAACATCAATTGGTTGCCTTTTGCACGCACCCCAACTGGGGACCGAATCCAATCCCACAACCCAGGCATGTACCCTGAAGGGTAATCAAATGGGTGACATTTTGCTTTGCAGGACACCGCCCAACCAACTGAGCCACACTGGTCAGGGCAATCTTTTTCTGATTTTTAAATGTTTATACACAGAGTGGGCAAAAGTAGGTTAAATTACCAGGCATCATTACTTAAAAGATAAATCACAAGGATATGAAATAATAACAAGAAGATGACAAATAATACAATAATAAATAATAATCTAAGAATAAACTTTGTTTCACATACTCACAACTGTAAACCTACATTTGTCCACCCTTGTATTTTTTTGTTTCAAATTACATGTAAATTTTAAGCTACCTCAAATCCCAATCTCTTTTGGTTATACTTAAAAACAGGAACAAAAATTTCTCCTGTTGAACTAAACCACTGATAAATCTAAACTTGGATACATTTATCAAAAATGTTCTTAAAGGGGGCATATCTTTCATCTCTGCTATCAACCTTTACTCCCTGAGGGAAAGTGCTGTAGGAGAAAGTGACTCAGAGATTTGCTTAAAACCCAAATCTGCCACTTTCTACCTATAAAGCCCAGACAAGTCACTTAACCTGAGCTCAACCAGTTTCCTCTTCTCCTAAATAGAGATGACATGAACTCTATAGGGAATTATGAAGATTACATAAATAATATATACAAAGGGTCCAAATCGATATTCAACACATAGTGCTTACAACCAACATTATATATTAGGCACATGGCACTCATTCTTGGCTGCTATTATAGGTTGCCACTTATCAATTTGCTAAAACCTTTGTTGAGCCTATTTGTTGTCAACAAGACCTGAATTAATAACGTAAGTTCATTTTTCATTGTACCAAGCAACACTTCCAAAAAGAACCCTTATTTTCCCTTCAAAAAGTATTCCTCTAATTACAGTATTCTGAGCTTTAGTAAATTTGACATATACTGTCAAACACTGATATATAGTTTATAACTGAGTCTGGGCCCACACCTCTTCTGGCTAAAGGCACTAGTGCCCTTAAACTGTTCATTGTAAAGCTGTTTCTCTTGCTCTGTTGTTCTCCTAATTGATATCTCTAGGTTTTTATTCTATAGCTTTTCCCCAGTGTCCTTGTATCCGTGGAGACCAGACCACCCAAATTATTGTAGGTGTTGATAGTCTGGTTTTACTTAATCATAAAGGCAATGTATGTGGAAAAAAAAGATACAAATGCAAAGGTATAGACAGGGGGGTGTTTTCCTTTGTAACCCCAATTCCTAGAAATGTTAACAACTCTAGGTCTTATTGACCTTTTTATCCTGTGCACATATGGATTTTAGGGTTTTTTAATACAAAAAGAGGGTCATGGTATACATTCTGTTCCACATCTTGCTTTTTCTCTCTCAAGAATAAATTACAAATAACATCTACAATGATTTTTCACTTGTAAAAGCTGCCATAGTACAAGACATGGAAACAGCCTAATTGTTCACTAATGGATGAATGGATAAAGAAAATGTGGTATACAGATACAATATTATCCAACCATAAGAAAAAAAGTACTTATCTTTTGCAAAAACATGGATAAATCTTGAGGGCATTATGCTAAGTGAGAAAAGTCAGATAGATATATACAAATACTGTATGTTCTCACTACATGTGGAATGTAAAAAAATCTGAACTCAAAGAAACAGAGTAGCATGGTGGTTGACAGGGACTAGAGGTAGGGAAAATGGGAAGGTATTGGCAAAAGGGTATCAACTTCCAGCTATGAGAAAGTTCTGGTGTTCTAATATATAGTATGGTGAATATAATTAATAATACTGTATTATATATAGTTAACCCTCGAACAACACGGGCTTGAACTGTGTGTCCACTTATACATGAATTTATTTCACTAAATATACAGCTGGATCTCCTCATTTTGCATGCACAGATTCAACAAACTTCCACTGAAGACAGTATTTTTGAGCCATGGTGGGGAATCTGCAGATGCGAAGGGCCAACTGCACACACTGTTCCACACCATCTTATAGAAGGGACTTCGGCATGTGAGGAGCTGAGTATCTATGGGAGATCTGGAACTAATCCCCCACAGATACCCAGGGACGACTGAAGTTTTGGGGAAGTCAAAAGTCACATACAGATTTTTGACTATACAAAAGGTTGGTGCCCCCAAACCTCATGTTTAACGGTCAACTGTACCTGAAAGTTGTTAAGATCTTAAAAGTTATCATCACACACACACACACACACACACGATAATTATGTGTGGTATTATCTGTGGCTGTAAGCAACAGAATTGACCTGAAGTTTGTATTATTTCCTAAGGTTGCTGTAATAAATTATCACAAATTGGGTGGCTTAAAACAACAGAATCAGACCAGACTGGTGTAGTTCAGTGGGTTGGTTGGGTGTCTTCCTGTAAACCAAAATATCACCAGATCAATTTTCGGTCAGAGCACATGCCAGGGTTAAGGGCCATGTCCCCAGTTGGGGTGGCGCACATATGTTTTTCTCCTTCTCTTTCTCCCTTCCTTTCCCACTCTAAAAATAAATAAATGAAATCTTTTACAACAGGAATTAGCCTGGGCTGGATGACTTGGTTGGTTGGAGTGTTGTCTCATGCACCACTAAAGGCTGAGGGTCGGCTTCTGGGTCAGGGCAAATACCTAGGTTATGGGTTCAATCCCATCTGTGGCACATACAGGAGGCAATCCACGAATGTTTCTCACATCAATGTTTCTCTCTCTCTCTCCCTCCTTTTCTCTCTCTAAAATCAGTGGGTGAGGATTAAAAAGAAACATGAATTAATTTTCTCTCAGTCCTGGAGGTCAGAAGCCCAAAATCAAAGTGCTGGCAGGCCCTAGGATTCTCCTTCCAAAGGCCCTAGGGTGAATGCTTCCTTACCTTCTCCAGCTTCTGGTGGCTCCTGGTGTTCCCTGGATTATCACTGCATAATTCCATTCACCACCCCCATCTTCACATTGCCTCTCCTCTGTGTGTCTCTTATGAGAGCAGTTGTCATTGGATTTAGGGCCCACCCAAATAAGTCATGATGGTCTTAAGATCTTTAATTACATCTGCAAAGATCCTTTCCCCAAATATGGGCACATTCACAGGTTCTGGTGAGTTAGAAAACAGACATGTTTTTTGGGGGCCACCATTCAACCATACATTGGCTTAAACAGCAGAGTCATTTTAATTATCTTATGATACATAATACGAAGTCTGTATGTAATAGGCAATATAGGATTGGTGTGGCTCAATAATCTCATCAAAGACCCAGACTCTCCATCTTTCCCCCTCTACAATTCTCAGCATCCTATTTTTTGCCCCAGCTCCAGGTTTCACATCCTTTATAGGACAGTACACAAGGCAGAAAGGGAGAAGAGGAAAAGACTTCTCCTTTTAGGGGAGAAGATCTCTCCCTGAAGCCTCTGCAGCTTCCCTCTATGCCCTGTCATGCCCAGTGCAGATGTATTATTGGCAAAGGGGAACAGGGATGCCAGGACTGC